TTGGTTTCCCTTTTCTTTGTTGAAGAGGGTCTGTGCAATCCTTCTGCCTAGTCCGCCATCTTGCCCCGCCTCCGAAATTGCTCTTTAACGTTTCACTCAAATCACAATAAAAATTAAAAAAAAAAAAAAAAAAAAAGCAGCTAAGCTCCTTAAGGATAGAAGCTATCATACTCTGTATCCCTAAGGATTTAACACAGTAACTCATCCATTAAACACATCTCATTAAAGGTATGTTGAAGGTATGAAATGATTGGGCTACTCTCAGGATATCTCTCTTGAGGTTGGGGCATTGCCAAGGAGGGGAAGACTCTCTGCTTTCAGCCTTGAATCAAGGACTGCTGTACCTTTACTTTCTCCTACTCAAAATCTAATCTTTTGTAACATTTTAAGAGTGGCCAATATGATTCCAGAAAGGTTGGATGATTATTATATGATAATCAGCACATTTTAATAAGGAGAAACTTACTGGCAGATGCAGCTGGCACAGACACAGACAACTCTTTGAGACTATTCACATGGCACCTTTCCAATAAGGCCAACTTACTCACCTTGACCGATAAACCACTGGCACTCCCTTTTACCCAGATTCTGCTTTTCTGTTTTCTATAGCACCTCTTACCTTCTAATATATAGTTGACTTATGTATTACATTTATTATTTATTTTCTGTCCCTGCCTTACTTACCTACCAACCACCACTAGACTAGTATATAAATAAGCACTATGAGGGTAAGGATCTTTATCTGCTTGTCACTGATATATTTCAGTTACAAAGAATAGTACCTGGAAAAAATGTGGGTGCCAAAAGAACATTTGTGCAATGAATATATAAACCCAACCTGAGAGTGTGGTTTTCAGTAAGAATCTGTCCTCCCTGACACTGAAAGGATGGGGTGGGGGGTGGGGGCACAAAATGGGTGTTTACAAAACAATTAGTCCTTGGAACCAAAGCAGATAAATACAGGTGATCACTCTCACTTTGCCAGGCTCAGCAAGCATCACTCATTTGCTAATAAAGCAATAAAGACAATCAGTTAAACCAACAACTGATTAGGTTCAGAGAAAAGTATCTCCAAAAGCATTATCTACTAGCTACCTGATCACTAACAGTATTCTCAAGTATAGTGTTATTTCCTATTCAGTCTCAACCCTAAAAGTACTACATAAAGAGAATATAACCTCTCCCTCTTCTCCACTACCAGTGCTCTCTTGCAGATGGAAACACCTGAAAGCTGGGGAAGAAGACTAGTGGTGAAGGTGGGGTGGCCAATGGGTTGGGAGGAAAATGCACTAGACTTTGGCATCAGCTATACAGAGATGCCAATCCTGGATCAGTTACAATTGTTGGCTTAAAAGACAAACTCCAGCTTAGAGAGGACACATGCTGTAAACTACTAAGCCCTTTTTCAAGTGACAGTGGTGCCCAAAAGGACGAGGTAATGGTCTGCAGAAACTTTCAGCAGTTTGAGCAAACAGGGCTGATGGCACTTGTTTGCTGTTAGCACTATTGCTGTAGGCCTGAGTATAGCAGATCCTAGTATGTTTCTTGGCTTCATTTCTGCACATTCAAACACTGAACTTTTGGACAAATAATCGACTGATAATTGTTTTTAAGCACTTACTAAGTGCAAAGAATTGTGTTATTTTGCCAGGTGCAACTAAGGATGCAAAAACAAGTCAGAAATCTGCTTGCTTCAAAATAATTTAGGGGAGGTAAGTACAGATGAACTAAGATTAGCCATGATTAGATAACTGCTGAAGCTGGAAATGGTTAGTTACATGGAGGCTCATTATGCTATGTTCTCTTCTGCATATGTTTGAAATTTTCCATAATAAAAAGTCAGGAGAAAAAGGTTCTAGCCATCAGGGAGTTCACTGCTTGGTAGGAAATGAACATATATATGAATAACTGTAAGAAAAAGCAGAAGCTAAATGCTTCTGGAGATCAGAGGTCGGAGAGTTCCCTGCAGGTGAAATGGGAAATGGCATCAGTCATCAAAAGGTTTAAGAGGGCAAGAACTTGAGCTGGCACTTAGGTGCAGATGAGGAAAGACAACATGATGAAAAGGTCCATTGATTCTACACTTTTCCATAAATCTCCAACTTTACAATCTCTGAATTTTCAGAACTATAATATCATATTTGAAATAAGTGGGGATTTAAAAAATATATGCACTCAAACTCCTTTTGAAAGCAATTTTTTAAATAAATGAAGTATTATTGTCTCACAGTGCAAAGGAATGCCAACCTGGGTCCTAGCTAGGTGCTAGCACACAGCAGACACTCAAAAAATATTATCTGAATGAATGAATGCCTGATGTTCTGTCTGGGTGAATGTGTGCATGTGTATTTGTGTGTAGAGAGGTCTCATGCAGGGATCAGAGAATAACAACTCACCTTTTATAATCTGGAACACATGCATCACCTTACTTGATTCTCCTAAGAATGCAACAAGAATCCACTCTGCCTCCAGACCAGCCCCCTCACACCCTTTTCTTCTATAACATGTTGAACACACTGCTCTTTCATTGTTGACTGTGCCAGACTATGTCTCTTCACCTGCTTTTCTTTTCCACATTATACTGTGAGTTCCCCAAGGTCCCTGATCCCCCAAAGATTAGCAGAGTCTGGATCAAATACATGTATTTCTAACTATTTGTAGAAAGAAATGATTAATGTAAGATGAAGACATAGGGTGTCTGTGGAGTAGTGAAATTCATGCAAGGTACTTCTATCATTAACAGTCTGAACCAAGAATGGATTCCAAGTCTCTCACCTATTTACATCAATTTTTATTTTAAAGATGAAATACCTGGTGTTAAAGGCAGCAAATAAAGAAATTGAGTGGCTGGCAACAAAGTTCATGAGAAAGGAGCAAAGAAAGATCTATCTCGATTATAGCCAACTGTCTCAGCCAATATGAGGCAGGCAGTACCACTGTATTATAAAATTCCAGTGTTTCTGGTTTCCACTACATACATGGACTCTTTCAAAGGTAGCTATTATTGGCAGATAAAAGTCTTAAAGACCTGCTTGAAGAGACAATAAAATTATTGCCTTTAATTATCAATTTCAGTGGCTGCTATCGTCTAGAGTCTGCTTTCTTAAAATAGGTGAAAGAATCCCCTTTTGCTCTTATTTAATCAATTTTTAAATACAATCAAAGTTTCCCCTACCTTCTCTAGTTTCCATCATAAGCTTCAAAGAAGGTGCCCCAGTGTAACTCCTACTGAGGGCACTGACTGCAGGCTTCTCAACATGGATAGTTGGTGGATAACAAAAATAATGATGATCATTCACCACGCACACTGAATCGTTTACAAAAGGCTTTCAAATATTTGGTTGCCAGGATAACGCAAATAATCTGCCCAAGGGCTTAAAGTCAGTGAGTGACAGAGCTGGGAGCTAAAGCCACATCTTTCCTCCCCACATCTATACTTTCCATTACAACAGGTGTTGTCCAGTACCTTAGGTTGAGTCCACCTCCCTGCCTCGGGTGAAGACAGTAGCAGGGAAGAGGAGCAAGGATGGGAGAGGGATCATGCAAATATCTGGTTAAGGGACCCCTGTATGGAAAGAGATTTCTTACCTGTCATTTCGGCTGATGGCTGCCACCATGAGAGCTGTCCAGCCAAGTTTGTGCCTTGCATTGACATCTGCACCTTCTGATAATAGCCTAAAAAGGAAGAAATATTTTCAGTGTATGGCTCACTATGAAACGAGCCCTGGTTAAGAGTTCAGCTGTTAACAAAAAGGTTGGTGGTTCAAACTCACCTGCCACTCAGTGAAAGAAAGATGTGGCAGTCTGCTTCTGTAAAGACTGCAGTCTTAGAAACCCTATGGGGCAGTTTTACTCTGTCCTATAGGGTCACTATGAGTCAAATCTGAATTGATGGCAACAGGCCTGGTATTTGGTTATGAGCTCACCATGAGAAGAGTGGAAAGAACCACAGAAGAAATGACAGTCAATAAATAGGGAACCTGGATGAATCTTGAAGTAGTAGAGGACTTTAAGAACTAAATCCCCCTATTCTAGCTCTTCTGGCCACTCTCCTTAGACCCAAAGTTTCCCCCATCTCTCCCTTCTTCCTTTAAAGAGTCTGCCCCTGCTATTGCCCTCCTAACTTTTTGAGAAAAGAAGGTACCTTCCCTACCTTAATACCCTGACATTCATCACTCCCTTGGTCTAGAATGCTTTCTCTCTGCCTCTCTGCCTGTTCTAGTCCTACTCTCATGGTATGTGATACAATCCTGGTTTGTGGACTCTCTCTCCTAAGAAAGCTTCCTTGACTCATCAAATCCAGTGCTTAGTACAGAACACCTAATGATACTTCTTATCAAAGTAGTTTCCAGCTTACAAATGAATCACATTCACCAAGTTTATCTGCAAGTTGGCTGTTTCAAAACTAGAAATCCTTTAACCCAAGGAAGATGCAAAGAATTCTAGAAATGGTAGATTGGATTCCTCAGAGAATCCATACAAGCCTATTTAAGTCTATATGTTAGTGTCTGGCACATAATAGGAGCTCAACAATGGTTTAATGAATAATTCAGCAAACCCAAGACTAAAAGTATAGCACTAAAATTCTGAATTCTGGATCCTGGGAAGAGGCTACCCTGCAATGAGGCAGTAAGACAGACAGAAGGGAAGGAACACTAAGCACCTGTTACAGATAAGAACTGTCCCAGGCACTTAACATACTTGATCTCATTTACTCTTCACAAAACTTTAAGAAATTGATATTAATCTCTTCTTTACATGCACGTAGTAACAAGGCACAGAACTGACTCGCTTAAAGTCACACAGCTAGTTCACGGGCAGTACAGTGATTGGAACTAGATCAATAACGACTTTAAAGCCTGCATCCCTCTCACCTCACCGCTCCTTTGACCCAAGTCAAATGAAATCTCTGTGCTGTTGAAGGGAGCCAGTAACTAAAGCTTAGAAGGTTGCTGAGCCACATGATGTACTCACTTCTTCATTTACTCAGCCATGATGTCTATGTGTCTCTCACAATGCTGATGCAGTGGGGAGACAGACTATCAAACACAATTATGCAGCTGATGAGTGCTATGAATGGGGACAAGAGATGCCAAACAAGCAAACCTACTAACTGAGGAAGTGAAGATAAAGAGGAATGAGACACAAAAGGAGCTGAGGATGGGAAGGAGTATTGCAGGCAGAGGTAAAGCCCTGAGGCCCTGAAAGAGATTTGATATGGCTGAGGCATAGAATGTAAAACGAGAGTGCTGAGAGGAGGTTGGGAAACCCCCATCTCTCACCTCTGGTCTGTAGGATTTCTTTTAGTCAAAGACTTACCACATACACTTACTTACATACACTTACTTACATACACTTACTTACATACACTTACTTACATACACTTAACACATACACTGTTAAACTTTCTTTGTGCTAAAGTCATTATCTATGGCCAAGAGGCTTAGAACTCTGGGGATGAATTTTCTGTGACACAAAAGTTGCTTTTTGCACAAAACCTCCTCTCTAAATTAGCAAGCCACAGGGTGCAGTGGAGAGCTCATGGTTCTTTAAGTCAAAGAGACTGGAATTCTGATCCTGTGATTTTGATCAGATGTTCTCACTTCTCTGGGCTAGAAAATCAGGGGATGCAAAATCAGGACGGGCTCAAACTAATCAAAGACCGCTTTCTGAGGGAAGGACTTGAACTGTGCCTTAAAGAATGGGAATAGTGTAGAGGAGAAAAAACATGCCAGACAAGGTAAAAGAACAGGATACAATTTGGAAGCAGGGAGGAACAGCAAAATACATTCAGAGACCATCAAGCAGCTCCATCCAGGTGACGGCGCACAGCAGAGAAACAGACAGTGGCTAAGGTATGTAGGAGCAACATTGGGCCACAAATGCCAGGCTAGGAGGCCAGAGCAGTGGATATGAGCCCTTTTTGAGCGACGGACTCCTTTAAGAATACGATAAAAGGTGATGATTCTCTCCAGAAAAGTGCATAAGAAAACATACACTAAAAAAACAAACAAACAAACAAACAAAAAAACCATACATATATAGATACAGATAGATCAGAAGGAGGATTGGGCAATCTACTTCTGTAGTCATACTGTGTTGGAAACCCAAGGAGGGGTCGCTATGAGTTGCAGACGACTAGATGGCACATAACAACAACAATAACAGATAGGTAATTGTTTCCCCATACATGTAAACCTCCACTCTGCACTCCTACCTCTAAGGCACACATCACAAATCTCTCACAGCAGCTTTTTTCTCTTGTGGAGTCCCTGAAAGAGCCTCAGCATCTTCCTCAATACAGGTTCCAATCAGCCACCATCAACCTTCTGAAGTGGACAACAGAGAGGAAACCTGTTTGCTTCTCCTTAAACTTTTACCATAGGCAGTAGGGTTGCCACTGAAGGTTTTGAGACAAAAGAAATTATGAAACTAACCTAACAGCTTAAGAAGGCTTATTTTGAAAGAGGCAGGGAATAGAAAATGGGGAAAAGGAGAACAGTCAGGGGGCTGCTGTAATAAACCAGGGGAGATGAACTAGGACAGGGAAATGAAAAGGCAGGGAATGGCAATGATCAGCTCAGTGCGAGCAAAATGCCTCATGTCTCCAGTGATCAGTGACTCATGTCCCATGTCTGACCTGAGAATTCTGGAAGCAGCACTGCTCTGGAGACAGACAGAAGACTGAAATGCCTCATCTTCCTGCCCTTTGAGGGCTCAGTGTAACTTAATAAAAAAGAAAAGCACTAATAAAGGGTCATGGAGTAAGTTAGACCTGGATTCAAATTCCGGTCTGGCTGAGACAACTGTGAGCAAATCACTCTTACGAGTTTCATTTTTATCACCTACAAAATAAGGATAATCATAGCTCTATTTGGCAGGGAGATCCCAGCCCAGAGCTTGCTATGTAGCAGATATTCAGTACACAGGGGTTTCTGCCTGCCGCCCTACCTCCATTTCCATTGTTTTGATGGAACAAAACGTCTGGTCTCAGTCTGGTAGTGGCGGGTTGGCCAATTCCCAGGTTTCTAAGACATGATCACAGAGGATGACCTGGATAATTAAGCCAAGTTGGCTCTAGGCACTCCTTTATTCATTTATTTAACAAACATGCACTCACCCACTCTGTGCCAGGCTCCATGCTGGCTACCAAGGAGGAGACAGAGATAGAGGTCCTTGCTTTCTAGGATCTGAGCCAGGCAAGATTTCTTTTTGTGAGGAGAAACTGTTAGGAGAGGGGCCATCTCTAAACCTGCTATCCTTTCAATGAAGTGAGACGACTTTCTCTGCATAGGGCCGAGTCCAGAGAGCAGGGTTCTAATCCCAGTTCTGCCATCTACTGTCATTACTGCCACTACTTCTAACACCCTGGAGAAGGTGTATCATCTTACTAAGCTTTAGTCTTTTCATAGGTCCACTGAAAAGGCTCTACAACTCTGAAGGATACTCTCAGGAGGCAGATCTTGGTGTCCTTCTATGTGACTTTGGCTTTTAAGCTCTGCCCAGCTTCCTGACTGAGCATCATTCTTTCCAGACACTTTGGACTGAGGTGTAATAGAAAAAGCAATGACTCTGTAGTCTAAAGGCCAGAGCTCAGATTGGAGCTCTGTTACTTGCGAACTGTGAAACAGCAGATACTAGTCCCTACTGGGCAAGGCAGTTGAAAGGATGGAAAGATACCACATAGTAGACCTCCATAAGGAGTAAATGGACCTGGTACATGAAAGGAAGGACCTGACTCAACTTTGAAAAAACACCACAAGCCCAACCACAAACAACTTTTCCTTTTTCACATCTGGGTGGGCCCTTCCCCCACTTCCCCTCTGTGTACAGAGCAGCCCAAGAAGTTAAGATTTTACAAACCAGGTCTCCTCCATTTCATTTTGTTGCTTTGCAAGTGAATGCCCAGCGGGCAATCATTTCAAAGTCCTGGGCCAGCTGCGCGGGTGGCTGCATGCTGAGAGTGGCTGAAAGGGCCTCTGAGGCCTAAGAAAGCCACCCTTGCTCTCCCCTGTGTTTTACACCAACGGATAAAATGCGGCAAGTGAATTAATCTCTTTTAAAAAGAGCAATGCTTGTGACAGAGCACAGTGTCTCCGAAAAGGTTAGGATTCCATCATCCCCGAGATGATGAGTGGAATGCTTAATGTGTGCTGCCACTCAGGGCACAGTAGCCGGTGTCGGGGGCTGGGAGTGGGGGTGAGCATGGCAGACCTTTCTGGGCTTACTCCAGACTCTTGGAGGACCCTCCCCTAATGAACTAGGTCTCCTGCTTGGCAAAGCAGCGTGGGTGACACTAACTGAAGAGGTGACCTAGGGTAGTTGGTGGAGAGGAGACCACACTAGAAGTCCAGAGGTGAATCCCAGTTCTTGCACAACTCTCAGGCAGTAGCGTGGAACAGGAGAAAAAGCCAGAAAGATCTTGGTTCAAATCTAGCCTCTGCCACTTATTGGATGAGCAGCACAGGATGAGTGAATGACTTAACTTCTCTGATTTCCCTCCTGCTCTCTAAGCCTGTTTCCACATCTGTTAAAAAAATGGAGAAGACTCCACCAGCACTATCATGTATATTGCATAGGATGCTATGACAAAGCATGAGGCAAAACGTGAAAATACTTGGTATGCAAGAAAGCACTGTATACATAGAAGTTGCTGTGGTGGTTATGTTTGTGTG